TGGGTGTGGGTATGGGTGTGGGTGTGGGTATGGGTGTGGGTGTGGGTGTGGGTATGGGTGTGGGTGTGGGTGTGGCGGTTGTGGGTGTGGCTTTTTTTTTTCTCCTCAACCACACCCATAAATATTGACAGATTCGAAATATGGAGAAATGAGTCGACAAGTATATGTACCATTTACTAGTCGACTTGAAGTAGTGAAAAGGTGTGGGTGTGGATATGGATGGGCGTGGTGTAAGTGTGTGAGTGCGGGGTGTGGGTGTAGAGTGTGGAGTGTGAGTGTGGATTGAGAGAAGATGAACTCATACCTACACCCACACTCATACTCTGGTCTCGATCCCAACACACTCCTAATTGTAAGCTATTTTCACACAGGTTACCAGAACTTAGCTGACGGTAAGCGGCTTAAAGTAGCTGAAATTGGAGATTTCCAAGCGCTTGAAAGCGTCGTACGTTCGGTGAAAACCAAGTGTTTTTAAGTACTAAAGATGATGGTTGGGTGCGGTCGTGCTCTCTCCGTGCACACCCACACCCATATCGACACCCACACCCACATACCCACACTCACACCCACATACCCACACCCACATACCCACACCCACATACCCACACCCACACTCACATCGCATACCCACACCCACACCCTGCTTGAAGTCTTTGGCTGCCGCATGTAGGTTGCCTTCTTTGAGACAGTAGACGAAATTTCCTCCGACTTCACTTTCACTCTTATCACCTTCAAAGTTCGAGTCGATACCGTAGGTTGGATCTAAAAACCAAATGGAATTGTCTGACTTGACGACGACATCGTTCAGACTATTGAACCGTTTGTTATTTTCCGCGCGATCGACTAGTATAGTCAATGTACTATTATGTTCCGTTCTCGTCACACTCCTTTTCTGTCCATTACACTAGTCGTAATGAAACATTTGATCACCTGACACATCGGAAAAGATCCGTAAACGTAAAGACGGAAAGTAAGCAGGACCCTCCGCCCATATCTGCCCTGTGTGCAAACGATGAAGAGGAGCTGGCGACAAGATCAAATGACGAAAGTGATCGTTAAAGATATCAAACACACCAACCGTTTTTGCCACCGTCGAAAAATGGCTCGGGTTATCTTTGTTTTACGAATGTAATCGAGAGAGAAAAAAACGACGGTGAATAAAATAAGGAGGCATGTAAGATGAGAAAAAAAGAGAAGATAAGAGAACGCCTTCCAAAGCAAACCTAAAAACTCAGACGAGGCGTCCAGCGAGGGCTCAAAAAGGTATTTCAAACGTATATTTGCTCGTTCTGTTCAAGTTCGCATCTCTTGAAATTTGCATCATCGGATTCTCGGCAATTTCGATCCCATCGAATTCTTACTGGCGATCCGTCGATCTATTATCGAACACTCGAAACCAACTGGATTTTCGACTACTACACGAGAAGAAGTCATCGAATTCTTTTGTTCGAACGTCCGATTTATTTGCAAGTACTCAAAAGCTATCGGATTTTCGAGCACTCAAAGAAGAAGTTGATCGTTAACATGTTTGGACTAGTTCTATATGCTTTTCGAAGACTCTAAACTCATCAAATTTGCGAATACTCCGTGTGAAAGAACTCATCGAATCCTTACTTTCGAATGCTGGACTTGTTTTCGAGCACTCGAAACTTATCAAATATCTAAGCATTGTGTGGGAAAGAATTCACCGAAAAAACATTTAGAGGAGTTAATTCTATTTCAGAGCAGTCGAAATCCTTCGAAACTCCGATGACTCAGAATTTTTGATGATGAGAGTGAGCTTATATGAGATAATCCTAATTGGAAGATCATAAATATCAAATTTAGTTACCACGATGCGTTTCGACTCGGTAAAAGATCTCATTGGGTGGCGGTTTTTTCTGCACGTACGCAACACATTGTCTGATACTGGAATGTTAACCTTGAATGCATGCATGAGTAAAGAGCTAGAAGTTCGATGTGTCATGGCTGAAATAGACAGACGGCTAGCACGAGTAGTTTCGGAACAGCACTTGTGTGACTGGTCATTTGAGTATCTCAGTGGGATTCACTGAGGACGAATCAGTTTGCTGATTCAGGGTGAAGTTGTTGTTATGGGCGATATAGTGGAGCCGGAAAAATTGTGTAGAATCCATCGCCTCATCGCATAGATAGTTCTAATGGTTCACGGTCGATATTCGTCCCGAAGAGTACTCGTGATACTTTGACTTTTTGTTGATGAAGATGATGATGTAGGAAACAATTGATTTGAAGTGGTTGAAGGCGTTTTGATGGTCCTTTTTGGCGGATTCTGCAAAGAATTTTCAAATCTGGTCTATATTATTCATGACTTTGCGGTTTCAAGTCTGTCATACGGGCATCGATTGAATCTTTGGAATGTTCGGTAATGTTAGACAATGTTGTTGGTCACCATTTACCCATACCCAGTGAAAAATATTGATGAAAAATAGCAGAGATAAACGCGTTGTACAGTTTAGCGAAAATGTTCATAAACAGAAAAAATTGTTCTCCAATTTAAAGAAAAGCATTCTTTGTCGTTCTATCATATTTTAGAACTCTTTCTTCTCCTTGCAAAATCATTCTTCATACGAACAGAAAGCGTTTTGGAACTATTCCAAAATCTATTAGAATGTCTTTCATCAAGTTTTTTTCTGGAACGGTACAAAAAGGACTCTATCAAAATGAGATTAGTGTCTTTGCTGGTCTAATCATTATCTATGAAAGCACCCATAAGTCGGTGAAGAAACCGAAGTATCAGACAAATTTTCAACTTTTCTTTTTATATGTCCATCTTAGTGTTAGTAATTGTAAGCCGAATAGCTTGCTGAGAAAGACAGATAGTCACCTACCATTTTCACCATTGAACAGAAGATACTAGAAAGTATTGATCTCTAATGGGAATGATCAATCGATCAACGTTTAGCTTTTTCATGAACATTTTGAAAGCAACTTGCTCATAGTTTTTATAGTTGATTCCGAAACTAAAAATGACTATTGAATAGTAGAGAGCAATGTCTTTCCATTAGTGCAATGCGATTTTGTTAGCTTTTTTTCATTGAAGAGTTCGAAATTGTGTTTTTTTTCGAAAATCTCTAAGGCAACTAAACGATGCGCAATACTTAGCCTAAAACGAGTGGGGAGAGGAGGGCTCGACTACACTGAATTGACTGACACAATTGATTCTACTTTCGAAGCAATGCAGAATTACTAGATCAGCAATAAAAATTCGCTCTCTGGCGAGATACAAAGTAAGGAACACATATTTTAAACTTCGTTATCTGGCAATTCTAGACTGCTTTGATAATGAATAACAGGAGAGTCAAGAATGAACGCATTGGTTTTCATCTTGATTCTACAGGCTGCATCGTCTATGCATAGAGTCAGTGTTATTGACAATCGAAAAATACAAGGGAATGTTTTCGTGTGATTGCGTATGAGTGAGAAGAAAGGTTTTTTCTTTCCTTCTATTGACGCAATGAAAGAAGATGGAATCCTTACGAATGTTTCAATTGTGAACAAAACTGGTGTTGCTTTTTTCTCAAAGGAGTAGTAATTCAGTATTGCACAAAGTTGGATTATTACCATATATAGAGGAATAGAATCTCGGCTATCTTAACAGTCCATCGACTGCATAAAAATTCAGAAGATAGATGTTAAAGAATAGTCTTGTCTGTTTCATGTCAGAAAACACTCTAGTTTAGTTGTACAAAATAAATATCTCGCGAGGAAACCTTCCGAGGTTATCAACGTCGATCCAACTGATATTTTGCCCATAAGTAGGGCTCAGTGAGACTAGAAAAAGCCTAAAATGGTTCACACTTTCTTGGGAGCTACTTCTTGAGTTATACTCGTTTTATTGAAATTTTCAGCTGTAGTCGGGGATAGAGTGGAAAAGTAAATGACTATATTTCGGTCTGAAATTTCGGATACGTAGAGGTCTTGAAGCCATTAAAATATTCTGAAAGTTTCATCGAAAACGAATGTGTATTTCTTGAGATAATGAATTTGCGAGTAAGCTCGATTTCCGACAGGTCGCTATAGTATATTGGTAGTTCTTGCAAATTCATTATCTCAAGAAACACACATTCGTTTTTGATGAAACTTTCAGAATATTCTAATGACTTTGAGACCTCTATGTACGCAAAATTTCAGGCCGAAATATGGTCATTGACTTTTTCACTCTATCCCTGGCTACAGCGGAAAATTTCAATAAAACGAGTACAACTCAAGTTGGATCGGCGTTGATCACCTCGAGAGGTTCCCTCATGAGTGACGCATCGTATCGGAAAAATGATTTAAAGAGACTAGCAGCACAAACAAAAACCCATCGGCAGTTATCAGTAACTTCCAGTTACTTAGTAACGTGACTTTTCGGTAGCTGGCCAGTTTGAGGTATGAAAGAGCAGCCAAATGTAGTTACTCAGATTTTCAAAAACCAGTCAGTCTAGCGAAAATTGATCAAAATCAAGTTTTTTTGAAAGTCAAGTTATTTCTGCTCAACATGTCGTAAAAATTGAGAGGAACTAAATCGATCATTGAAGTAAAATCGTTCCTTGTATATGTAGAATGATTGATAACACATACATTGTCCTCTCGTAAATGAACTAATCATTCATCACCCATAGTCAATTATAAATTATGAATGTCTTCGTAGATTTACGTATAATAATGAGTGCTATAAAGTCCAATCAGCCGGATACGTGTATCACTGTATCGCAAGCGCCGAACTCCACACCAACTGCTAACAATGAAGCAAAGAAAGTGAGCTCAGATATGGTCGATGTGATCATCGCAGGAGCCGGAATCGGTGGCCTCATCACTGCCTTATGCTTGTATCGTGAGGGATTCTCTGTTCGCATTCATGAGCGAGTGCAAGCACTTGAGTCAATTGGGTTTGCCGTAGGTCTTCATCCAAACTGCGTGAAATTACTGTACGAGCTTGGACTCAAACATGATTTGGATGAAGTCGGTATTCGCAGAAGCAAGGCTTTTTTCTATTCACGTCATGGACAGCTTATTTACGAAGAACCGACCGGCATTGAAGCTGGTTACAACTGGCCTGTGTACTCGATGCATCGCGGTAACTTTCAACAACTTTTACTTCGTCATATACGTCATGAAATAGGCGAGACATCTATTCGTCTTAGCCAGAAGTTAGTGGCGTTTCGATCAGTTTCGGACCATGTGGAAGTCGATTTTGTCAATCCATCTACGGGTGATCAAAATACCGAACTGGCCAAAGTACTCGTGGGTGCTGACGGAATTAATTCGACTGTACGTAAGATTTTATATCCTGACGAAGGACGTCCTCTTTGGAGTGGTGTCACCATATGGCGTGGTGTGACACAAACGGACAAACTCCTCCTGGACGGACGATCATTGATTGTAATGGGAGATCCAAATGATGTGCAACTGGTCATGGGTCATGTTAGCAAGAATGTCATTAATTGGACTTGTCTGGTTCGAGTTGAAGATCCAAATATGCAAATTTCACCAGCGGCACCTGATTGGAATAATCTTGGTCACATTGAAGATCTTCTTCCGTTAATGTCGAACATGAAACTTAACTTTGTTGACATTCATCATATCATCCAGTCGTCAATGATTATCAACAAATTTCCGATGACTGATCGTAATACTTTACCTCGATGGACACATGATCGTGTGACTTTACTTGGTGATGCTGCTCATCCAATGTATCCGTATGGAGGTAACGGAGCCTCTCAAGCCATTCTCGATGCTCGTGGGCTCATTCTTTCCTTTCGTCAGCACGGTGTTACTCTCCAAGGTCTTCAAGCATACGATGATCTTCGCCGTCCAGCTTCAAATATTGTGGTTCTAGCTTCTCGACAATATAGTTGTGACGAGATTCTGAAAGTCGTCCACGAACGTGCTCCAGACGGCTTTGAACATTTGTCTGACGTTATATCATCAGCAGAACTTGAAGCCATAATGTCTAACTCTAAACGAGTGGCAGGTTTGCATGCGGAACAACTTAACCAAGAGCCTCCTCTCTTTTAAATTGGCTATTATAACGTTATCTTATGTGATAAGTGACACTGGTTAGAGGACTGCAGGACATGGTATTTTGACAATCTATAACCTGCCCTGCCGTGCGTGATACTCGAGAAATACCTTAACTTTTATGTCAGTCTTTTTACGCAGTTTCTTTCAATTTAGACAAATAGTTTGCCTTCCTAAAACGCTTGTTGTTCCTCTTCTATGACTTTATAGATCGTAGTCGGTGTCGACCAAGTTCTCGAAGCGAATATATCCCAGATATACTTTACTTATTGGTAAATTTCTATAGTAAAAAATTATTAACGGGTGGCGCATAAAGAATGGCCCACTCAGTGTTTTGACTATAACTTTTTTTTTCTTTTTGATCTTTAGAGCTGATTATTTTTCCAAAAGATGCGCCATTAAATTCTCTACAAAATCGAAATCAAGCTTATTTCTGTGGAAAGTTAAGGAAGGGTGTGGGTGTGGATTTTATATTCAACCCCCACACCCTAGGTCTACGTGTAGTTGATGCAAATATTATGCTAAGCATTGTTTCGGACAATACAAATATTCGAACAGTTGCAATAGTAGAGCGAGCAGCAGATTTAATTAAGGCCAATGTTTAATATGATTGTGCTAGCTTTTTGGTATTAAAATAAAATTAATTAGTGTTAGAGATTCGATCATGTTTTAAAGGAGGTGCAGGTGTAAGGTGTGGGGTGTGGGTCATAGTGGACAGCCAGGCGGCAAAATCGATTTTTGAGATCTGAGCCCATATCATAGCTGGCATTGAAGCTACTACGGTACTGCATTTAAGTACATCCTGGGTACTGCTGGATAGTGAGTATCTGTTCAGCAGCGGGTACCACAAAGTACGTAAAATAGGTGAAAATCATTAATGAAACCGTATAAGTAAATTATGTTTTAAATTGAGGATCTAATTATATTTATTAGTTATTATATAGTTATACAATGTTATATATTTGCTGTATATTCCAGAACATTGGGACTTCTTGAAGTTCTTAATGGTCTAATAAGATCAAAAACTTAGGCCTAGTATAGTGAAAAACAGCTACTAGCCAGTAATGCAATTCGTTTTCTGGATTTTCCCGGAACTTTAATTCAAGTTTTAGTTTGTTATTTGATAGAGCATACCATCATCTATTTTCGGTGGATGCGCAAAGGTGTGCCATTGAACCCTTGTCGAAATATTTGACATTTTGTAGCACAACACCATAGTCTCTCTCAGGTTCACCGGAAAAATCAACTTTCGAATTTCCACTTGAAACTTTGTGCAAAGAAAGGTCTCAATAAGACTAGTTAATCCTGAAAGTTTCAAATTTCTTGGTTGCTCCTATCCTTAAGTATGAACATTTAACATTTTGTGCTATAAATAATGTGAAAAAGAATATGGTTTTTTTCTTATACTCGTATCTCGGGATAGAAGGAACCCAAAAATCCAAAACTTTCAGAATAAACTAGCCCCATTGAGACCTTTCTCTGGGCAAAGTTTCAAGTCAAAATCGGAAAATTGATTTTTCAGATGAACCTGAGAGAGGAAGCACGGCTTTTTTCTAAGAAATGCCATAAAAATTAAATATCTCGGCAGAAATAAGCTACAAGCATGAACTCTTTTCATGGTACTCATAGCTCATTAGAGCCTACATAATGCATATAGTCTCGATTCAAAAGCAATTTGGCAACTGGAAATTGCTCTTGACCCCCTTTTTCTGCTCACTGTATGGGGTGCGAGGTTGGGTGTGTATATGTGGATGTGGGTGTGGGTATGGAAATGGGTGTGGATGAAGAGGCATCCACACCCATACCAACACCTTACTCATCCACACCCACAACAACTCTCACCCTCAAGACACGTCCCCACCCACACCTACACGCATACTCACCCACACCCTAGTGTAGATGTATACCAGCGGTGGACCAAAAGACCCTCATTCACATTCACACTCCACAGCAAGAATCCACACCCACCCTCACACCGACACCCTGGTACTTGCCACTCGATAATTTTATTAGCAGCAATTATGAAACACATTTGTATTCTGGTAGCTTGTCTTCCCCCCACCCTCAAAGATGTTCATTGATAATTATACAATTCAACGTATAGGCGAAAACATATTTTTGCAATAGAAACGACAATTAATTGTTACACATCATGATTTAGATTTCTAGATTATTGAAAGTTTATTTAAAATGAGAGTTACTTGAGTAGAAGAATTTTAAAAAAAGAACTGAATTAATATTTGAATGTTCAAGCTATTGCTTTTGATAGTAATCATCAGTTGGGACCTTTGTAAAAACGATGCTGCCCAATATCTCCCAGAACAGTGCACTTTTCAGGCCACTCTGCATTAGGTTCTTTGTTTGGATTATTATAATGATCTGCTCCTCGTGTTGGATCTTGGCTACTGCCACTTAAAATGCTATCGGCCACTTGGAGGCATTGTTCGTATGCGTCTTGCTCCTTAATTTTAATGTCACCTCTACCATTCCAACATTCAAATTGCTTAGGTTGTAAGCAGACACCACTGATGCTATTTCCACCCCACTCAGACCTGTTCGCTTGAGCTCGATTCTTGATTACATGACCAACTGCTTCTTGACCTTCACGAGATTCACCTCGTACTTCTCCATAAATTGTTTTTGCCAAAACCTCTCTATCAGAAAGACCGGACATTATCTACAACAGAAAAATGCATCAACAAACATAAAATCATGAAAAATTCAATTCTGGATTATATTTATTAAAATGCTGTTATGTATTGCAATACCAAATACTTTCATACACTGAATGTCAATAGCAAATCTGCTTACTAATATAGCTGTGAGAAAAAGATAAACCATTGGAATTTACTACGTATGTGTCTCTCTTTTACGTTGAGAAAAAGTGTTTTTTTTTTACACACGTAGTTGGTTTTTTCCTTCTTACTCGAATGACGTCGAATGTTTTAATAAATGTCGATGAAATCATGCCTTCTCTTGCAATTCAATCAACCAAAAGGTATAATGGAAGTTTAATTGAAGTTTCTATTGGATTGCAGATTGACATCTAGGAACACTGATTGCTAACTGTATAATGCTTATATAGATATTGGTATAACACAGAACACTGGACTACAGTATGACAGGTGCTAAATTTAGTTCCCTATAGGGGTAAGAAGCTATTGTTGTTTGAATCAATAACATTTTTATTTTTTTTATTGTTATTAATAACAAAAAATAACAATAATTTCTCACTCCCTAATTGGTAGCCATTAGAATCGACGTATTCTTTTTCTATAAAACTAACAAGAAACATATGCCAACTGATAAATTGCTTTTTAGCTAATACTTTCTCTCGGTATGTAGGATGTTGGTTTGGGATGAAGATACTGAAAAAATTATCATCCATACCCATATCCGTATATTCACACACAACCATGGACTTGATACGTGCGAGAATCTCCATCTCTGTGATAGAAAAAAAAGAAAGAAAAAATACCAATGCATATGTCCTACAAGCTATCAAGTTTCGACACAGAAGTGAAAGAAAAGAACAGACTCGATAATATGATTTCGTCACACTGTTGTAATGCTATTTGTTCTTTATTTCTTTCAACTAGGCTCTAATTACAATATCAACCAACTAAATCGAAGAAAAACCGAGACAAGCGAGAATAAGAGATGAATAATCTTTTTACCTTGAGATAAAAGTGAAGCAGAGAAAAACAGAATAAAGAGAGGATGAAAGGAGGGAGAAAGAGAAGAAGAGAGGAAGAAGTGAAACTGGCAACTGAGCTAATCTGATTCAAAAAGAAATAGAAATAATCTGCCTAGTAATCAACGATACATATTCGATACATAAGAAAGAAGTATATGTGATGACAGCTACAAAGTCACATCTATATAAAAACAAGCCACTAGAATAATATGTATGATTGTTACCGGGTGAAATGTTCCATAGAACAATGAACCCGAATCCATCTGCATCTCTTAGATGAGGAACATATGTATGATCTACAGAAGTAAAAAGACAAGAAAGAGATGATGCAATGGAAAATACCAAGATGTATGATACGTATCATCTAAGTACGATAAAAGAAGGAAAGTAAGGAAAATATAGTGTAGGACTATGCCACACTATAACAATGATAAAATGGAAGACGTGTATGCTGAACTTTACACCACGGACATAGTTGAGATGCTCTCCCGAGCACCTCTAACAGAAAGAAAGAAGAAGAGAGCGTAGAAACGAGAGATAAGAGCAAAATAAGGAAAAGAAAAATACGAAGAAAAGATAAGATAAATAATGAAGACAATAAATGAGGAAAGATAAGAAAATACATGAAACTAATGAATTAACAATAAAGCAATGGTGGGGGAGTTCAAGGATGCACCATAGGCGAGTGTTATGATAGATGAAAACATTAAAAAAGAAGAAGACCGATAAGGATCATAATAAAGAGTAGAAGTGTAACATTGAAAACGGATCAAACAAAAAAAAACAGGCTGACCTGTATTCAATTCAATACAAATCCGTCTGCTATTTAGTGATAAAACAGAAGTGAATTTCTTATTTTTTACTATATATCGTCGTCATTTTCTCAATTTGTACAAAATTACATAGAATTCAATGATTGTTAATTTTTAAAACTTACTGTTAGATGAAACGTTGTGATATTGATTGTTTATTGATTGACCTGTTACCAGCTGCTCTTTATATTGCAAAACAAATAAATGATGAATGCGCAGGAAAATATTATGTTGTGCTCTTTGCCAAATGTGAATTGATAATATCTCGATAGAAGCGATAGCTTATATATACGACATAGGCCTATTTACTGCGTATTTCTTTTCTATTTCTTCTTTTGGTTTTTTCCAAGCATGAGTCAATATTTTTCTTCGAATGATATTGTTCGAATCAAGGGGGAAAAGGCGAGACTTCGTACTTCTGAAGTACGAGTGAAATACGAAGTCTCGCTTTTCCCCCATGTTTCGAATACATCACGTATCTCGTTTCT